GGGGGGGGGGGGGTTGGCGGGCAAAAGAGGAGCCCAAAACAGCCAGTCTAACCATTAAGGCCTCTTGTTGTAGATGCCCTGAGCCCTCTGCAGGTGGCCATCCGCTATCTCCCCTAAACCCTAAACCCTAAACCCATTTTGGCTCAAGGCCCGAGGTGACAAGTGCTTCGTGCTGCGTCCAGGGGGCTAGCGCCCCCGTGCCATTCGGCGTTGGTCTCGGCGGGGGCGGCCAGAGCTTCTACTTCAAGGGCAGGGTTCAGGGCGTCGTCAGGGGCACGATTTTGCCGAAGGGGTAGGGCGAGGAGGGCGTTCTTGCCGGCCACTTGGGTGCGATTCTCCTGTATAGCATTGGGATGGCGGTGCCCTCGCTGCGCATAGGGCTGCCCAACGTTCCGGAAGGGCCCGACATGGATCTCGATTCACCGTTGAGGGCCTCTCGCGAAGGGCGTGCAGAGAGTCCCCCAAAAAGGGCGAAGGGACATCCCGCTACAGGAGGGCCCAGCAGCGGGGGGGACATGCCGACTATGGAGGGGCTGCGACTACTTCTGGAGGAGCAAAGCCGGGTACTCCTTCAGGCTCAACAGACACAGTTGTCGACAACCTTGGAGGCATGGGAAACGAGACAGTCAGAACGTTTGGACAAGATCGAGGGCCGAGTGGACAGCACAGCGGACCAGGTCGAGGGAATCCAACGGCAGGTGAGGGAACTGACCGATCGTCTCAACAAAGTGGAGTCGCAACCTTCTACCTCAGGACCTGGGCCGGATCGGAAGCATACACTGGTGTTTGGTGGATGGCATGAAGGGACCAGGAAATCGACTTTGCTTTATCAGCTACAGCAGGCCATAGCCGGCCTTGGCCTGTCTAAGGACCTAGACCAGGAGCCGTTCTGCACTGGGGCCCGAAGGTCAGTCTCGTTGTGCACATTTCGGAAAAGGCCGGATGAGGATGAAGGGCTTCTTCGAGATCGAATGCTTCATGTTCTTCAGACCGTCAACGCCAGTAAGGTTACGCTGGACGGGGCAGCCCGTCCTCTATGGTGTGCCTTCAGCAAGTCCCCTGCTGAGCGGGGGCGGGCTTCACTGGCGACGGTGGTGAGGAAGGCAGTACTTCGGTTTGCACCCAATCGAGTCTCAGACCTGGATGTGGAGTACACGACCGGTAGGAGCTGGATAAAGGAGGACCAGCTCACGGGCATGAACGACCAGGCGGTGGTGATCCGAGGAGCTCGGACGGTTACGACACGAGGGGGAGACGGTTGGATTGATGAGAAGACGTTGGCCAAATGGGTCGAGACGGATGTTGGGGAAATTCGTGGCTTGATCGACGAGCATCGGTTCTGATGGGACGCATCTCCTGCTGAAGTTTTCACTGAGCCTCAGGCGGCTCCTCGCACAGACGCTTCCTCAACTTCGGCTTCGGCACAACAGGTGGGTCAGAGGCGACCTAGTTGCTGGCAGCTTGCGGTGCTGGGGTGGAATATTGGTGGAGTTGATCTCTTTCAGCTGCCGAAGGCAGTGCGCGACTCTACCAGGGGCAGCCTGGAAAAAGACGACCTTCTCTTGCTGCAGGAAGTCCCCAGAGAGCATGAGGGTTGGAACCACCAAGAACTAGAAGGCCGCAAGGTTGTATCCCACCGAAGAGGCACCCAATGGCGAGGGACGGGGCTGTGCTATGACCCCGGGTCTTGGTGCGTGTTGCGGAAACTACATACCAGCAGAGGGACGCGGTGCAAAGTTCGCCACTTGGAGAGGGGCCTGGAGGTTTGGCTGGGCACAGCCCACTTCTCGCCGGGGGTGACTGCGGAAGGGTATGAGGACGAGGTGGAGGACCACTTTCGATCACTACCAAGGGATGCTTCGAAGGTAATTTTCCAAGGGGATGTCAATGCTCCTTTTGGGTGGCTACAGGTGGATGGGCAGATCACTGTGGTCGCAAAGGATGGCAAAGGGCACACCTTGCACAGGGCGGTGGTGGAAAGACAACTTGAGGTTGGGGTCCCCTCAGAGCAACAGATGAACACCCCAACAAGCAGACCTCGGCAAGAGAACAAGCAGGGTCAGTGCATTGACGTCATGGCCTACAAAGGGTTGAGGCAATCGCGATGGCATATTCATGTTGACTCTTACATGTGTGTCGGCAGCGATCATGAGCTTTGTGAGTCTGTGTTCTGCATTGATGCCGAGAAGACAACGAAGAGACACGAGACGAGACCAAGGGTTTGGGCAGGGGGTGTGGACTGTATCGAGGGATTAGACCAATCCAAGATGGAAGACTTGGCGCGCAAGTGCACGAAACCGACCCCGGGACATGGCTACAAGGACCCTCAGGAAGTCAAGCTCGCCTTCAAGGAGGCCAAGCGCCAGGGTACCGCATGCCTGTGGAAGCGAGCACTCAAACTCCGAAAGGCGGCACGGCGGCAGTGGGAGTGGGAGCGACTGGTACGTGCAAGTGAAGGGGAGTGGCACTCTTTCAAGGGCCTTAAACCGCGGAGAGATGCAGGGTGGGATGTCGGATTCGCTGACGCCCAAGAGCTCGACCCACATCAGGTGGTACATGATCATTTGACTCAGGTTTACGAAGGGGTCGAATCGGAGGGGGCGACGAAGTGGTCGGGCGAGGTCAATGCCTTCACACGAGAGGAGCTCGATGCAGGGTTACGACAGATGAAGAGAGGGAAAGCAGTGGGAGCAGACAAGACCTCAGCCGAGTTGCTATTTGGGTTGATTGAAGTGCCCGGTGGTGCTGATCATCTACTTGAATGGTTTAACAGGATTTTGGCCACGGGGGACATTCCCACTCAATGGAATCGGCCGGTGGTTGTGATGCTTCCTAAGATTCGAGCCCCCAAGAAAGCCAAGGAGCTCAGACCCATCGCCATGGGGTCGGCGGTTTCCAAGCTTTTCAACCGTATGCTACTCAACCGATCGCTCCAAGTCCTATCACCCCAGAGTTATGTTCAATGCTCCGGAAAAGGACGCCAAACCTCGGATTTCCTATTCACCATCATCAGATTATTTGAGCTCACGAGGGAATGGGGTAACCCATTGGTGGTCTTCAAGATGGACCTGGAGAAGGCATTCGACAGCCTGGATCGCAGGGTTTTCTTACAACGGTTGGAAGAGAAGCTGGGGAAGGGGGCAGAGTTGAATTGCTGGAAAGGGTTGCTAGCGAACACCCGGGGGCTGCTTCAAACACCATGGGGCAACTCGGAAGTGGTGATGGCTAAGGGAATCAAACAGGGTGCTGTGGAGTCGCCTGTCTTCTTCTCGCATATCGCTGAGGTGGTTATGCTGGACGCAGTCTCCAAGTACGGATGGAGGGATGCCCCCCCCTTGTTCCCAGGCCTTCCCCCTGAAGAAATGATGTACATGGATGACGGGATCATCTGGAATGGTGACATCCGCACGGTTGAAACTAGGGCTCATCAACTCTCAGTGGAATTCGCAACCTACGGCCTCAAAATGAATGCTGCCAAATGCCACTTGTATGTTGCACCCAACTCCGGGGACAAGGACTACATACTCCTTAACGGCATCAAAGTGGTCGCGTCTCCCACGTTGGAGGTCATGGGGGTCAGCTTGAGGGTGGGTGGAACGGTGTATGAATTGGTGGCTCCTGCATCTTCGAGAGCAAGGGCTAAATTCTGGGAGCTTCGGCATCTCTTTCGGACCAAGGGCTACATGAAACACAGGGCCAGAGTCATGGAGAGAGTCTTGGGCGGGACCGCGCTTTGGTTTATTTGCTGTGTGCCACCCGACAAATCTGCGATGACAGCACTGAACTCCACTCAGCTTCAGCTGATGGTCTGGCTGCTCAGGTTCGCGAAAACAGAGGGTGAGACATGGGCTCAATTCAGGCAGCGCGCGTTCCGGGGTGCACGCGCCGCCCTGCACTCGGCAGGGCTTGAACGGTGGAGCACGGTGTGGTTGCGCCGTTACTGGCGGTATGCTGGGCACAGGGTTCGTACGGTCCTCTCGGAAGCCCCCCCAATCAGCTGTCATTTCGAACACTTTCGCACCCGTGCGTGGTGGGTGCAAGAGCAGACCAAGACGCCAGCACAAGGGGGGTTGAGACACAAGGGGAGGCATTTTGCACGACTCACCACGCTTGAGCAGCACATGGACACAGTCGCAGCAGGCCCTTGGAGGCAGAGAGCACACGACAGGGTGGCGTGGCGTGCCTTGGAAAGCCAATGGGTCGCACTCATGGATGTGCCTTGGTCGTCTGGTCGCCAGCTTGCTGTCCGAGATGTTTAGTGAGGGTCTTGTGCATGGTTGACAGGGTGCCGTTGCATCGTGTGAATTCGATTGTATCCGACAGATTTCGCTTCGCTCCCCCTCTCAGGGTGGTCGTGTAAACGCCGACGTGCCTACTGTCTTCGAAACGAGACAGAAGAGAGTGACAGGAGGGATGACTATGCTTTGCTGTATTTTACTTCATAGGGCTCCGAGTGTACAGCTGTGCTTCGTTGCTTGCCTGCCTCATGAAGGTTACAGATGCATGTGACCTGACCCAGCGATCAAGCTACCGGTAGCGCAGTCGCATCGCGCCCTAGAGGCACCACATGATGATCCGTGTTTTCATTTCGATTTTGGTGCTCGGGAGGGGAATTGCTGCTCCTTCTGGGCCAACTCACTCGACGGTTACCTCATCGCTACACCGTGAACCTGCCGAAGGGCCTCCTCGCAGACGTCGCCAGGACGGGCAAAGTCAAGAGAACATCCCCACTCATGACACGACCCAGAGAACCGACTTGCGATGGGTAGGGGCCCGCACGACATGCACCTGGATTGGCTCGGCCGAAGAACAGCTCTACAGGTTGCGACTTCAAGGGCTAGGGGCAGAGCCTACCTGGCTGGCAGTGTTGCACCGAATCCAGCACCGGAACGAACCAGGGTATCACAGGTGGTGCTCGGGCTTCCTCAAGCAACTACGGAGACATTTCGGTGGAACACACGGCCTACCAAGATTTCCTGCACTATGTCAGGGGGAGAAGGGATGTGGTGCAATGTCTTCCACACCTGAGCTCGGACGAGGTTATACTGGCCACTCGCCCGATGCAGCATGAGCCGCCATCTCACCCCTACGGCATCTTCCATGCTAACTGGGTGGATGGAACCACAGGGGAGTGGGGCAGTTACGACGACATGGACCCGGCCCTCCTGGACCGAGCTACTTCTACGGATGAAATGATGGCAGGGGGCATGGTCGATGGGATAAGGGAGGGACTTGGAACTTCGAACTCGGCTCGAGGCTCCCATGCACCAGATCAGGGACCTGATGAGGAAGACCCCACTGTCCTCTTCCAACTCCCGGTGTCGGTGGAAGCACGTTGGCACCGGCTTATAGCGCAACTTCATGACTGGGTGGAAGAGGGCCTCGCAGCGGGTCTTGCAGTTCGCATGGCGAGGCATGCGGCGGAGCAAGTCAGGGAACATGGGTTTATGGAGTGGGCGGAGGCGCCTCTCCACACGCTGGGCGCGGGCATACCTTTCAGCGACGGGCCCTCGGATGAGACCACTCCTCCCAGAATGCGCGCATGGGCCTCAGAGATTGTGGAATGCTTGGTTCTGTGCTTCCGCACCGAGCGCTACCAGGGACTAGCACAGGACTTGATGGAGGACGAGGTGTCCCTTATGGACAGGGAGCGCAGACCCAGGAATGCACGGAGGAGGTACCGTGACTCTCGCAGTCCGAGGCGGGAAGCCAGACCTACATGTGCGCGATCCTCGCATCAGGGATCCGCTTCGAGCCGGGCTGAAAGGATCGCTGCGCGGCAAGCTGGAGGGGCAAGATCTACGCGGGGTTCGGCTGGGGAGGACAGCGAGTACGTGGAGGTTCACCTGGAGGAGGCGCCGCGACCTGAAGAGGCAACCAGGGAGGGTGTTTCGGCAGGGTCTTTGACTGCGTCAGGGAGCCATGGGACTTCGCGGCCTTCGAGAACGGAAACCTCTGGTCCTACTTCGGGGGCGAGCTCCCCAAGCACAAGGCCTACAGGCAGTGGCTCAGGGGGTGGTGATATAACTTTGCCTCATCCGCGCAGGCCCATGACCCTTACGCAAGGGGTCGATTTGTGGAGGTACCTGCTCTTCTCCCGCACAGCCCTGGGACCGGAATTGGAAGCGGGGAGCCGTATTCCAAACAACTGGCTTCCGGAAAGCATGGTTCGAGAGATTTGCAGAACCCACGAATCGATGTCCCCGACCAACAGGGGCATTTCAACATTGGCTCTGTTGACCGTGATCAGATTCCTGGCACAGGAACTGACACAGACCATCCAACATGCCGAGACAATTGCCAGGTCCAGAGAGGTGGGGAGAAGACATGGTGAACCGGAGGAGGACGACGAAGAACTTCTCCTCCAAGTGGGTATGGAAGTCAGCCGCGGCAACACGGTCGACGAAGTGGCCATGATGCAGGGGTTCTTCTTCGCGACGGATGGCCGGGACTCGGCCCAACAACGGTGGACCAGAGACCTTTTACGACTACAGAAGGAGCTGGTCGGGCAGAGGAAAGACAGGAGACGAGCCAACGTTCAGGGGCTGTTGGCATCACTACGGGCAGCACCCAATGGGCCTATGAGTTCAGACTGGGGGGAGCAACTCCAGGCGCTCCTGCTGGTCTTACTGGAGGACACGACCGAGGTGGAGGCTTCGACGGAGCAGGATTGGGGGTGGCTGCAGCCTTGGGTGGCGGAATTAGCCACCTTCATTCAGGGTATGCAAATGTGGGGGTCGCCGATTCTGGTGGACTCTCAGCCTCGGACAACTTCTTCTGGAGAGGACCACCAATGTGGGGAAAACGACGCAGGCCAGGGGATTGAGGACTTGCTTCGGGACGAGGAAGAAGAGCGGGAACTACAACGGAGAGAAGCGCAGCAAGAAGAACAACGCCAGGCTGACCACGAACGACTATGCCGAGTGGAAGCGGACAATCTTCGCAATGAGGCGGCGGCATACCGGGCCTGGGAGGATAGGCAGATTCAACGCTACCTGGCCGAAACTACGCCTGCCTCGGATTCCAAGAAAAGGTGCATCTTGCAGGTGGAACTGGCTTCTGGATCAGGGGACAGACCGGTTCGACGGCAAACTTTGGCACTGGAGGTACCTGAGGATGGTTCTGAGTCCGTGGTGACCATACGAGCTCGGATGGAGCCGGACCCTGACGGGGTGGAGACCTTGGGGGTACCGAGCCCGGAGCCTGACTGCCGTCCTTCCGAACTCGGGCACACATCGCAGAGCGAACCAGGTGGTGGCGTCTCCCAGATGGCGGAGGGGTGCAGCCAAGAGGCGCAGTGTGAGACGGTCCCGGAGCTCCTGCCGCACCTCGAGTTCCACGAATATGAGGCGGTTTACGACAAGTGGAGCAAGGGAGGGATCACTACTGATGCGGTGGCTCGCAGCTATGGCAAGCAGGTGGTGGAGATGCTGCAGGCCCAGTTCGTACTCAGTGCGGAGGTGGACTCAGAAAAGGAAGGGTTGACCCAACTTGACGAAGGGGACACCGTCGTGAACCAGAGAGATGTCTGAGCCAAGGGTATCAGGGATGTACAGATTTCAGTTTCCTCTTGTCAGACGGCCTCAAGGGTTGTCTGGTAAGTGCCTTCCGCTACGCGGATTCCCGAGTCAGTACCTGGCAGACGGAAAAGGGCCCTCAAAAAAAAAAACCCTAAACTCACATTTAAAGACCCTAAACCCTAAACCTTAA